GAACGCCTCAAAGGAGTGCGTTCTACCTTCCCTTCCCACCCGCCAATGCCGTCGACACCTGGATGGGCTGCAGCTGGAACGATTCCCGCGTGGTCTGCTGGCGTCTGCGCGGCAGACACCTGCAAGCCCCAGAAGCGGAACGTACGGATTGCCGTTCCAGAGAACGTCTCCTATGACTGTTGCGACGTTCCAGGGACGAGGGTACCAAGGACCCTATGACCCCGAGAATGAGGACGCAAACGCCGGTTTCGACGCCTAGCCGAATGCCGATGGCTGCTATTCCTTCGTATGGAGGCGTGTCAATTCCAATGGCTGGTTCCACGTGGAACGGTGGGGTAGTGGAACGCCTCAAAGGAGTGCGTTCTACCCTCCCTTCCAACCGCCAATGCCGTCGACACCTGGATGGGCTGCAGCTGGAACGATTCCCGCGTGGTCTGCTGCGTCTGCGCGGCAGACACCTGCAAGCCCCAGAAGCGGAACGTACGGATTGCCGTTCCAGAGAACGTCTCCTATGACTGTTGCGACGTTCCAGGGACGAGGGTACCAAGGACCTATGACCCCGAGAATGAGGACGCAAACGCCGGTTTCGACGCCTAGCCGAATGCCGATGGCTGCTATTCCTTCGTATGGAGGCGTGTCAATTCCAATGGCTGGTTCCACGTGGAACGGTGGGGTAGTGGAACGCCTCAAAGGAGTGCGTTCTACCCTCCCTTCCAACCGCCAATGCCGTCGACACCTGGATGGGCTGCAGCTGGAACGATTCCCGCGTGGTCTGCTGCGTCTGCGCGGCAGACACCTGCAAGCCCCAGAAGCGGAACGTACGGATTGCCGTTCCAGAGAACGTCTCCTATGCCTGTTGCGACGTTCCAGGGACGAGGGTACCAAGGACCTATGACCCCGAGAATGAGGACGCAAACGCCGGTTTCGACGCCTAGCCGAATGCCGATGGCTGCTATTCCTTCGTATGGAGGCGTGTCAATTCCAATGGCTGGTTCCACGTGGAACGGTGGGGTAGTGGAACGCCTCAAAGGAGTGCGTTCTACCCTCCCTTCCAACCGCCAATGCCGTCGACACCTGGATGGGCTGCAGCTGGAACGATTCCCGCGTGGTCTGCTGCGTCTGCGCGGCAGACACCTGCAAGCCCCAGAAGCGGAACGTACGGATTGCCGTTCCAGAGAACGTCTCCTATGCCTGTTGCGACGCTCCAGGGACGAGGGTACCAAGGACCTATGACCCCGAGAATGAGGACGCAAACGCCGGTTTCGACGCCTAGCCGAATGCCGATGGCTGCTATTCCTTCGTATGGAGGCGTGTCAATTCCAATGGCTGGTTCCACGTGGAACGGTGGGGTAGTGGAACGCCTCAAAGGAGTGCGTTCTACCCTCCCTTCCAACCGCCAATGCCGTCGACACCTGGATGGGCTGCAGCTGGAACGATTCCCGCGTGGTCTGCTGCGTCTGCGCGGCAGACACCTGCAAGCCCCAGAAGCGGAACGTACGGATTGCCGTTTCAGAGAACGTCTCCTATGACTGTTGCGACGTTCCAGTGACGAGGGTACCAAGGACCTATGACCCCGAGAATGAGGACGCAAACGCCGGTTTCGACGCCTAGCCGAATGCCGATGGCTGCTATTCCTTCGTATGGAGGCGTGTCAATTCCAATGGCTGGTTCCACGTGGAACGGTGGGGTAGTGGAACGCCTCAAAGGAGTGCGTTCTACCCTCCCTTCCAACCGCCAATGCCGTCGACACCTGGATGGGCTGCAGCTGGAACGATTCCCGCGTGGTCTGCTGCGTCTGCGCGGCAGACACCTGCAAGCCCCAGAAGCGGAACGTACGGATTGCCGTTCCAGAGAACGTCTCCTATGACTGTTGCGACGTTCCAGGGACGAGGGTACCAAGGACCTATGACCCCGAGAATGAGGACGCAAACGCCGGTTTCGACGCCTAGCCGAATGCCGATGGCTGCTATTCCTTCGTATGGAGGCGTGTCAATTCCAATGGCTGGTTCCACGTGGAACGGTGGGGTAGTGGAACGCCTCAAAGGAGTGCGTTCTACCCTCCCTTCCAACCGCCAATGCCGTCGACACCTGGATGGGCTGCAGCTGGAACGATTCCCGCGTGGTCTGCTGCGTCTGCGCGGCAGACACCTGCAAGCCCCAGAAGCGGAACGTACGGATTGCCGTTCCAGAGAACGTCTCCTATGACTGTTGCGACGTTCCAGGGACGAGGGTACCAAGGACCTATGACCCCGAGAATGAGGACGCAAACGCCGGTTTCGACGCCTAGCCGAATGCCGATGGCTGCTATTCCTTCGTATGGAGGCGTGTCAATTCCAATGGCTGGTTCCACGTGGAACGGTGGGGTAGTGGAACGCCTCAAAGGAGTGCGTTCTACCCTCCCTTCCAACCGCCAATGCCGTCGACACCTGGATGGGCTGCAGCTGGAACGATTCCCGCGTGGTCTGCTGCGTCTGCGCGGCAGACACCTGCAAGCCCCAGAAGCGGAACGTACGGATTGCCGTTCCAGAGAACGTCTCCTATGACTGTTGCGACGTTCCAGGGACGAGGGTACCAAGGACCTATGACCCCGAGAATGAGGACGCAAACGCCGGTTTCGACGCCTAGCCGAATGCCGATGGCTGCTATTCCTTCGTATGGAGGCGTGTCAATTCCAATGGCTGGTTCCACGTGGAACGGTGGGGTAGTGGAACGCCTCAAAGGAGTGCGTTCTACCCTCCCTTCCAACCGCCAATGCCGTCGACACCTGGATGGGCTGCAGCTGGGAACGATTCCCGCGTGGTCTGCTGCGTCTGCGCGGCAGACACCTGCAAGCCCCAGAA